TTTTTTTAATGCAAGCTCAACTTCGCACTCTTAAAAATGTCTGCAGAAGGATATTCTACTAAGAACCTGGAACAGAGTGGAGTAATTAGGATCACAAACTAGAGTGAGCCCTAACCTTGAATGCCAGCGCTACCAATTGAGCAGTAACTAGTTTTGCTAAGGAAACAGAAGCTGAATAGTTATTTACGAATCTATCACACTGTGCTTATATATATATAATCAAAGTTTTCTCTTTTGAAGAAGTCCAACATCTGCATTAATAAACCAAATGATATGCCTAATGCAGTCTCAAACAGACCAAGAGCAGGACATTAATTCTAAAACTCAGGGAAGTAACTCAAACGCCAAAAGTAAAGAGCATCTAACAGCTCCACTCCGGGTTCCATGTACTGAAGACAGAGGTTCCATGTACTGTCTGAGGTTCTACGTAGATTCTGTGAGCTCGATTGTCCTAACATCCAAAATGAACACAATGCTGACGACCCATACTTAACTCCAACAAAGGGGGAATAGAGAGAGAGAGATGGGGGGACCCGGGACGGTACCTTGTTTTTGAATGAGCTGATTACTTTCATATATTGTTGGATTTGTTTTCCTAGTTCTTCAAATAACTTTGGTCTTTCTTCAGCTTCTTGGAACCGCATCTTAATAGGTTGACCCAGATTCTTAACAGAAGAGAGAACACACTAATTCCACAGCTTAAAATATCAAAGTAGTATTGTTTCTACCATTCATAAGACTAGTTATAGAGTAAAAGTACATTTAATATCCATGTGTTATCAATGGGAGTCCATGGCAATAGAAAGCTGCTTTAGGCTGGCTATTATAGTACAACTTATTATCAGTCCATGTAGAGAAACTTCAATTTGTCATCTCTGAAGAGCTCTCTCTAGTCCTTAAAATACAGGAGACAACTAGCTATTAGGTGCCTCCTGATAGAGATACTTATTAAATATGACATACTTGCAAAAAAAATCAAAATTTAAAAAAAATTTTAACTCCAAGTCTGATGAGCCTTGTAGATGTGACGTTATTTACAGAATAATGCCAAAGACCACTATGGAAGTCACACACCAGACTAGAGGGGGACACCTACAAAACAAATGATAGTCTATTTATTCAAGTACGTACATCAAGAAAAACAATGGAAGGGAAACTGAAAATTTTAGAGACATAATGGATGGACCAAAAAATGTAAACCTATTTGAATCATGTCTCAAATAAGTTAGAAAGTACAAAAGAATCTTGACAAAGGGCTAATTAACTGGTGATATTAAGGAAGTTTTGTAGGTGTTCAACTGTAGAGTTTGTTACATTTTCTTTTAAACACATATTGAACTCTGTGGATTACTGTATATACTTGAGTATAAGCCGAGTTTTTCAGCACATTTTTAAAAAATCATT